GATACTACGATTTTCAATTTTTAGGAGTTGTTTCAGTAAATATTTTGATTATTGAGTTGAGTTTATGGGGACTCAATTATTTAGTTGTTTCTAAATTGGTTTCTTAAGTTTTATGTGATGAAGTGCTTTAACAAAGGGGAATTTTCACAAATAGCTACTATAGGAAATTTAATTAGTCTCCTTAGCTACATTTTGCCTAATTACGTTTCATAGTCGTAGTTTCAGTAGCTATGAATATTTTCACTTGTATATTTCGCATGAATTTAATATCATATACAATTCATTTTTCAAAAATTTTAATGAATTTAGACGGTAACTTCGGTTGAGAAAAAGGAAAATAATCCCATAAATTACGAAATTGTATCTCATTAGAGTTTCATACCAAATATGACTCTCTCTATACTAATAGAGTAATAGTTGCTTATTATCAATTGCTTTGTATTTATACTTGTGTTTATTGAATTATATGAGTATAGAAACTGAAAATATGTTTGTAAATCTGAAAAATCCATAACATTATACAAAAATAACAAAAATGAATTCATTAAAATATACAAATTAAGTTATACAAAATATCGCAGTTCCTTCCCCGTTTCATTGGTCCATTGAGTCAGATTGGTCTTCTTCTTCGATTCTTCTTCAAATCTTCTTCTTTGATCCTTCAAATTTTTCTTCGATTTCTTCTTCGTCTTCGATTTATTGCTTGTAAATGAAATTTCTTTTGCCTTACAAAAAGATAAGAAATCGTCCAATTTTTGCACATGCATTTGAATACCTCGAATGATTCTCTTATGACTGAGATATTCAATATTATGGCTGGAGCGAATTGAGATTTTGGCTGTAAAACTATTTTAAAAATGAGGAAAACAAAGAAATTATACATATACAAACAATTGAAAACTGATGGAAGTCTAGAAAAAATTAAATGGGGATTACCTGAAATTGAATTTGAACGATTTGGAGGGTTGAAATTTGAAACTGATTCGGTTGAGAGATTTATGGAGAAAATTAAGTGAGTATAAGAGAGAGGCAGTGGGAAGATTCGTATAAAAGAAGAATATGGTTACTACACGTTTTACTAAAACAAAAAAAAAAAAAAACTTTCACATATAGTCACTCAAAAATAGCTTAATTACTCTCCATAGCTATAGTTTGATAATTACAATTCGTAGCTACATGTTATAGGGAGGAGAGAAGCGAGCGAGACTGGGAGAGAGAGGAAAGAGGCGAGTGAGAGATGACAAAGAATGGGAGAGAGGTGAATTGTATATGTATATCGTTTAGATAATTGTATATTATACATATGTATTTGTATATATGACAAGCAAGATTGGGAGAGGGAGGAAAGAGGCGAGCGAGAGTGGGAGAGGGAGGAGAGAGGCGAGCAAGAGAGGGCAGAGAGTCGGAGAGAGGTGAATTGTATATGTATATCAGTTAAATAATTGTATATTATACATATGCATTTGTATATATGGCAAGAGAGATTCGGAGAGAGAGGAGAGAGGCGAGCAAGATTGGGAGAGGGAGGAGAGAGGCGAACTAGAGAGGGCAGAGAGTGGAGAGAGGTGAATTGTATATGTATATCGGTTAGATAATTGTATATTATACATATGTATTTGTATATTCTGGCGAATTATACATAAACAAACGTGGCTAATTATACAAGCTCGAAGTCAACCCACGCAATTAATGTATAATGTTAGTCGTGAGTGGTAATTATAGCAAACTATATCTATGATGAGTAATTAAGTAGTATAAGTTTGCTTAACCGCATAATTTTCCCTAAACAATAACCATTTTTATAATTAATTAAGAGCAACTTTCACATATAGCAAATATAAAAATCATATTTGTATGTTATAACTATAGTTTGCATAATTGCGCTCCATAACAAATTTTATGTTTGCTATGGAGCTTTTGATTTGTATAATTCACTAGATACATCCAATTTTATACAAATTGTTCAGTTTTGTATAAATTCATTTATACATTGTAATTTGTATAATAAGATCTGTATTTGTATAATGATTATAAGTGTATAAGACGAATATATATGTATTTGCATTTGTATATATATTTTTCTCTCGCTTTATACAAATACAAATACATTTTATATATTTTATACATTTGTATACCAAATGGATAATTGTATACCGAATCAGATGTCAAAAAAATGGGATGTTTGCTGCGAATTACAAATAAAATATACTATGGCTATATCATTTAATTTGAATTAATAGTTTGTTATTTCATACAATATTCCCATTAATTAATACTATAATCATGTAGCATAATTAAGTATTAAATGTTAGCTTAGTTATATAATTTTTCCTTTAATATGTAGTGTCCTGGGCTTAATTGCGGGTTAGTTGTTGCTTCTTCCATCAAGTGATTTAGTGTGGGTGACACTCACGACAGTATGGATCGTGACACTTATGTGACACAGTTTAAATTCAAGAATCAAAAATTTAAATTGTGATATGAAATCATTATGTTTGTTACGATATTTACATATTCGAAAACTACGTTTAAAGTATTATAAGCCACAATAATTGAACAATTCAAATATTTAAAAGGTATATTTAAATTACGATAAAAAAAACTTGTATAACACTCCAAATTTGACAGATATCACATAAATTGGAAAAGAAGAAAACAGTAAGTTTTTTATTTGGCTATTGCCTTGTTGTAAGTTACATAGAAACAAAACTTGAATTCCATTTCTATTTTTGTCCCAAGAACTTTGACTCTTCAATCTTTAGTTTCATTAGCTTGGGCAATCTGACTTGGAGGTGGTTTTCTTTGCCCACATTCACAGTAAAAACCGTCGCAGTAATAGAGATCGATAAAGCCACAAAGAGATCTACAAATATTTGGATCTTTGTCGCAACAACAGACAGAAATATCCCTCGCTTCAGTCTTTCGTGAAATACCTATAAATAAAATTTCATTATTATATATATATATATATCCAAGAACAAGAAGCTTTATAAAACGAACTTAGAAAAAATTGTGGAAGAATATATGATATTCATGTACTAAAAAATTAAAGCGAGTAAAAAACTTACAGAGTCCTATCATCATAAAGATGAGGAGAAAAGCCAATACTTTGAAAGTCATGTCTTAACTTTTGGTGCAATGCTCAATAAGCCACTTGAAAGTAATTCTTGTAGGTGTTTGATAATGATGTTTATTTTACTTTTTGTCCTACTTATAGCATATTTAGTCAACAATTCAAGAAAAATAATATTTTAAGAATCTTGTAACGGATTTCTCTTCTTTTTTGGGCAATTACATTTAAGTTAACATGACAATATTTGACTGAGATCGTAACGTACATGTCTTATACATCTAATGCGCTTGGACTTTGATTTGACTAGACATCTTATTGCATTTTGTCATTTGACATGATTCTATTGACTTTCTTATTTAACTTGATATGTCATTTCATTTGAAATGTGGCACCAATATAAACATCTAGAATAAGATAACGGGTCTCTTATACAAAAATATACATCCAAATAAAAAACATCTAAATGGCTACATGTATATGTGATGTATTGATATTGAATAAATTGTGTATAATCGTATATAGATAATATATAATATGCAACTTGTCAACAATATGTATTGTTTTACAATATTTATAACATTCTATATATCAAAATTAAACAAAATTAAAAATAAAGAAAAATCGAGGGACGATCTTTTGCCTTGATTTCTTGGACCGGGACAATTCCTTAGTTTTTCTTGGTCGATTTTCACACTCTTTCTAGTATTGTTAATTTTGACAAGTTTTATGATATTTTTTATTTTTTATTGTTGCGATATTTATATTTGTGTATGCAACTTGATGCACCCTATTTCAAATTGGTCAAAATACATGTTTAAGCAAACATATACTAGTTAACTATCATTATAACTATAGTTTTAGTTAATTATCACTCGCGATCAATATTCAGTGATAATTGCGTGGACTGGAGTTTTGAGTTTGTATAATTCGAAATTCGTATAATATAATTTGTATAACTTTTGTATAATGTAATTTTGTATAGTATAATTTGTATAGTTGTTTAAAGTTGATGTTTGTGTTTGTATAAATTCGTTATTTCAAGTTTATACAAAAATATCTCAATTATACAAACATACCCGTGATTTATACAAATCACCCGCTAATTATACAAACTCACCTGCTAATTATACAAACCCCACGAATTACACAAACGAGGCAGCTTAAATTGTAGCTACAATCCTTCTTCAATATGCAAATTATAGCTATGAAGCAGAATTAAGTTTATTATAGTGATAATTTGCAAAAAAAAATCCCTTTCAATACTTAGAATGGATATAGAAGACTATATGTTGTTTGTTTGGTGAGTCCAATTCCTGTTAACATAGTGGGTTGACTGGGATTTGGTGCTCTTTATTTGTACAGAATTGTTTTGATGAATTGGTATGGTAACATTTACATGAGTTTACCAACAAAAAAATATTGGCTAAAATTTCAATTATGTGTGTCTTAATGCATAAACAAAAAAATGTACATTCTTTCGTTGGAAAGCTATCTAATATTGGATATTATGCAAAAGAAAACATAAGGTAAATATTATTTAAATGAAGTGATCAAATGTTGACATGAATTAGACCTTTATTTTTTCAAAAGTAGGCAGTATCTACTTGCACATTACATAACATTTCTATATAGAGGAGATGGGGCTAAATGTATCTCTGATTTGCACATATTATCACCCAAAAAAAAAAGAGGACAAAATTTTCTCCCATGCCTAAACTGAGACGTTTATTTCTAATTAAACCTTTTTCTCCCATAACGCGAACTCAATACACATATTTTACTAACTCCAAGAATTAATTGATCTCAATGTGCTCTCCATTATCATACAAGTAAATCCCGAGAAGAAATACTCATGGTATACAGAACTAATTAATGACCCATAGTTGCACGATGATAATAATAGTTAGATGTCGAATGATATACATACAATACAGATGTAAACATGAATCAGCAACAATTCCCCAATCCCTAACATTAATCTACATAATTATAAGTCATAATATAAGACAAATGAGAACCAAATATCACCCCCAAAATAAGAAAATGCAGAGCATGGAGAGTATATGAAAGAGTACAGCTCTAACATTCATGACTTGATCTACGCCGGAGGATATGGACACATTCATTGGTAATGAACCTATAAAAATAAAAATTGTGAATAATGATCAATAATATAAGAGTTTTTTCTTGATAAGTTAATAATGTCAAAAAATTATATTTTAAAATTATTTTACTTACAATCTTGATCTGCCCAACCAATTCTCTGGTGAGCCAAATCATATACAATGCTCTTATCTCTAAGAGCAATATCTGTGTAACAAGAGAAAGAGATATAATTAGTGTCAACCTAAATTATAATGCAAGAAATGCAATTAGGGAATCAACAAAGAAGTTCGTTAATTAATTAATATTAACTCTTCCTATTTAATTTTTGGCTGAATTCACTAATTAATTCAATTTTGACTAAGTTCTAACTATAATGAACTATAATTGAAATTCATATGGCCATTTCCTAATGCAAAATCTAACCATTTTTACTCATCTTAAACCTTTTTGTTTCAGGACCAAAACAACACCAATTTCAGCCCATTCTAACAATATAATATGCAGCAGCCCAACCCATATTACTAAAAGACCCAGCAACAATAATACTTCTTCCGTTCGTATTTAGCTGTTACTCTATTAGGTTTCACGTCCCTTAAGATAAGTTTATCATTGTATCCTAATTATTATTTATCAGTGATGATTAGCTCATTATTATTTAGCTTCTTATTAGAACATGGAACAAGACTAGGATAACAAATATTGATACACTTATAATTGTATTTGGTTTTCTGTGTGTTCAAGAATTTGAATTTTAGGTGCTTAACTTCCTAGAATAGATCTAAAATGATTGTTATAAAGTCATTCTTACTTTTGATTTTAGCTATGTTGAATACTGCCAGTATACATGTGGTATACATCTAATATAAGGATGAAAATTGGGCCAAATGCCCAACGATTCACTGATTCAACATTTTAAGTAACGACTTTTTTTAAGTATTTTTTTTAAAATTATTTTAGACTTTGAACATTTGTGATTTTTCTAAATGATCGTAAAATCGCGACATAACAAACAACTTTGTTTATCACAGCTAACTAGAAGTAATATTGTTTTTGTTTTAATCTACAACTACAAAATTAGAAGACTAAATTAAGCAATGAAATACGAAAAATAATTATTGTTTAGAAACTGACCTCCTAAAATTGTCATGCTCGGAGCTTTTTTTATCAGGAGAACGCACCAAGTAGAAGTATTTTTCTGTTAAACACATATAACAAAGTAACTTATCTTAGTAGTTACATAAAAAGGTGACATGGAATTAATATAACCTCTATATAAAAGATTTCAAATTATAAATACGGGTTCGAATACTTACAAAAGCGCTCATAAAACTGAGGTAATCTGCTGGTCTTAACTCCATGGATACACCACCAGCAAAATTTAGTGTAACTCGAGGAAAGATCTCTGTTACATTATTTGGGGAGCTGTTCAAGTCACCAAAGAGATCAATTAGATACTTAATAATTTGAAACAGATATTCACTTATCGAAATATAAAATGTTAACCTGGAAGAAATTAGATAGCATGGAGTCATTCCTGACATGATTGACTCGACAGAAGATGAAATAGCAACAGCTATCTGTAAATAAATAAGTTAAATTCAAGTATCATCGTCATAGCTTATTTCGTAGCTAATCAATAAAAATATATAATCTTTATTTCTTATGTGAATTCACATGGAATTCCCAAGTAACAATGCATGCAGGTTTACCTCGAAATTAATTTTTGAAGCTTTACTTGAGAATTTTATTACGTAGACAATTATTTGGGGATTTTATTGGTGTAATTCTATTCAAAGATTATTTCTTGAACACTAACCTAGAAAATTACTTGGCGACTTTGTTACTACGATTTTAGGTGAGGGCTTTTCTTGGAAATTTATCCAATAATATTACTACCTACCGAATTATTAAGGTATTTTGTTATTGCTATTTTTATCACAAATTATATCTTAAGAATTTACTTGGAAATTTTATTACCTTAAAAATCATATAGATAGGAATTATTTCTTGAGATTTTGTTACCTAGGAATTATCATAGGTTTTATTGTTATATATTTTACTATGGCTTATTTTTTAGAATCTACGTGAAGGTTTTATTGGCTAGGAAATTACATGTGAATTTGTTTTTGTGATTTTAGTTGAAGATTATTTCGTGGAGATTCTATGAATATATTATCATCAAACAATTAGGCATTTTTCAAATCAATAGTAAATTGTATGTAATCAAACAACTTTCTTTAATAACAGAAATTGGGCCAACGCCCAAATCCTCAGCAGCAGCAACCTGGGCCCTGGAGTGTTCAAATTTGGCCCAAAAGCCCAGATATCTATTTCTATTTTCACTGACTCGTCTTTATATTTGCTACATTAAACTGTTTATCAAGTTTATTGCTAGTATAATTATTTTTAAATAAATAAATAAATAAAAATGGTTTTTTTAATTTTATTTTCAAATTCTATCCTATTTAACTTCTAATAAAACGTTAGCATTCTTACAAATTTATTGGAAATTTACAGATAGGAATTCTCGACCGATTTCTATAGCAAAAATCACGAATTTCTATCAAAAGTTTCTTGCGAATATTTCATTTTCCCTGCAGGTAATTTCCGTGTAGTTTACCTGAGGGAATTTAATTCGCCAGGTAATTATGACTACCTACGTATATTTTTTTCATCAAATTTTGTTTTTTCAAAAATATTTCTTAGAAAACTATTTTGCATCTTCTTAGAATGGAAATATATTTATTGTAGAATGAATAAAATGTGTGAGGAAGAATACTTACCGCACTAATAACAGAGTCGTACGCCTCTGCAACAAGATGAATTTGAGTGGTTCCAGAATCAAAAATAGTTCCTCGATCTTCTGAGGTTGCGAATATTGCTGGATCAATATGCAAAAGTTTTCCATTCACAGCTATGCTCTGCAAATCCACATTGTAATGCTCCCTGCAAGAGTAGACAAATTAGACTCTATTTTACATTTGAAAAAATATATATAATATAAAATTATACGTACGTTGATGGAACTAGCGGAGTATAGACCATGCTCGGATTCTGAATTTCACCGAGAACTAAAATACCTCCTCCATTGTCGCTCTCTCCTTTCAAGCAATGCGAGAATACTTTGCGAGAAATTCCATGCGAAGAAAGCTGAGATATTATTGAAAGACTACGTCGATCAAACCCAAGAATTCCATCAATTGCGTTGTCTGACAGGACCAGACTACCAAGTTGAGTGGTACTGCACCTGTTTTGATTTCAAATCAACATAATTAGGATCTTCTTTTTTTTCATATTTAAATATGTTGGTGACTGGTATTAAAATATTACTCATTTTAACTTGCTTTAAATCACCAAGTGAAATGCATGCAGTTCACTGCTTTGATTCTTTTAACATTACTTTATATTGTATCTTAAGTTATTTTTGAATTATAACTTAAGATAGTTTTCAAAAAAATTTTAACACTCTTGATGCATAGATAGAATAAGTTCCATGTGTAAATAATTAGTTCCTTTATTTAAGTGATGTTTAGTTTTATCATTATCATATAATAAGATAAGATAGATTATGGATGAGTCCTAAAATTAATACGTAACAGAAATTGGGCCGACGCCTAAATCCTCATCGGGAAACTTATCAGCAGCCTGGGCCCTGGACTGTTCAAATTTGGGCTATAAGCCCAGATTTCTGTTCTCACTTCCTTATCTTTATATTCGCTATATTGGGCCAGAAGCCCAGATTTCTATGATCCTGATCCTGATCCGAGACCCCATCTCGAGATCCGATTACGTCCTTGACTTATGCCGAGACCTAACCTTAATCCTAACCCGAGACCCCAACCTGACCCCAAGCCCAACCGCTTTTGAAGAAAATGACAAAAGTAGCCAAATGCGCAAAAACTAGTCACATCTTTTAATCTACAAATTTACGGTTGATTTTGTCATATTTAGAATTGAAAAAATTGGAGGACATTTTTTATTTTTTTTTACTCAATTGCCTAAACAAATGTCTAAGTGGTGTTGTATTAACCAAAAAAAAAAAGGTCTCAATACAACACACTTTTGTAGCTAGTAGCTACTAATTGATATTATTTTCATCTGTCGCTAATTTCCAAGCTTTGGAAGCAAGGCTCAAGCTATCTACACCATTTGAAGTATCTAATGAAAAAATCTTAATCCTTTTAATTTTATTTTTTAATTCCTTGTTTTGTATTGAATATTCTTGGTATATTTAGTTATATTCCAGATTTGCATATTATATTAGTAGACACTAATAGCTAGGGTTTTGATTCTACTCTTGTTGCTTTTGTTTTGATTATTTCTTGTAATTTAATTTATGAAATGAGTCTCTTGTTTATTTGATTAATATTGTTTTTTTAAAAAAAAAATTGTATTGATTTCTAAGGGAGTAACTAACTCTAGCTTATTCCCAATTCCTTTTAATTAAATTCGAGAGAAAACTAAGATTTGACTTAGATTAATTAACATGATATGAGATTTTTAATTTCATCCATTAGATTTAACCTAGAGATATGAAGAATATAATTGTAGCTTAAGGTGATTGATTTCTTTACTCGCTTTATAGTTACGTTAGTTTTATTTTTATCAGTTTTTAAATCAAAAATTAAAATATCATCAATTGTTTGACTTAGAGTAGAGTAATAATTCCTAATTACTCGTTTGACCGCCTCTATATTGTTCTTTATGAGCTTCAACCCCAACTCATAATTAATAAATTATATTACATGTGATTGTGTATACTTTTTCGTTTGTAAAGTGAATTTGAATGCTATCAACAATAGATAATATGAATTTTTTGTACATTTTTAACGTATCTAAGAAAAACAAGGTATTGATAGGAACGTAATTTGAACTTTAAAAAAATATATAGATTAAACTAAAAAAGTCTTATCTTTCCTTTTTTTTTTTTTTTAAAACTTATTCCCCTCGCATATCAGTTATCATGTTTCTGTTTTACATGCCCTTAAAAATTAAATGATAAATAAAAAATATTTATTTACTAGTTTACCCTTATCCTATAGATCAAATTATTTGTTAGTTAATTGTATAGTTGGTTTAATTTTTTCGAAAGATGGAATATCTATAGTTCTAGCTTCATGTTCCCTCTTTCTCAAGGATGTCATTTTTATTTTTATGTTGTAACAGAAGTTATGACCAAGTCCCTCTATACAATACTTTCTTGCAAATTTATATGATATCCTAAAATGACTTGAGAAAAATTCATTAAAAAAAAAATTACTTACCCAAAAATGATTGGTACTGAAGAGCTAGAGGTTGACGAAGTGCTTAAAAATGTGTCCAAATGCCAAACATCGGACACAAGATAGCCTGTTGTACTACTTCCGTCCATGTAACTCAGGGTAAAACCACATCGGTTTGTCCCAGTACATTCGCACCCACGGGTTGAACAAGAAATGGAAGTGGCAGTTGTTGAGTTGCCACTATCATAAAAGTTCAGCTTGACCTGCAAGAACATAATAATGACGTTAGATTTTTTTTTAAAAAAAAAACTAACTTCTATATCATAATTTGTACACAAAACTAACAAAAATAAAAGAGAGTGAGTTTTCTTTTTACCCCAAGTCCACTGGTCTGAGGACAAGTGTCACAAGAACTGCATGCAATCCATGAGATCTCACTTCCAGTATCAATCAATAGATTATATTCTCTGGGTGGTGATCCCACTTTCACTTTTGTATAATATATGCTAGAATTGTATAAAAACATGAAAAAAAGTCAGTAAAATACAATGGTTGTAAGACATTAAAAAATGAAAAAAATAAAATAAAAGTCATTGTATTATATTAAAAATGAAAACAACTCTCATTGTAAAGTTAAATTATCAAAATATTTCTTAAATTTGCCCGGAGCTAAAAGGGAATAATTCAAAAAGGCAATAAAATTCAGTTAAGAACCAAAAGGACAACATTTTAACGCCCGAATTAACACCGTTGGAATTAGGCCAAATTGGATAAGGCTCAAAATTTCATGAGTCTTGCAAGGCGCAACATCTTGTAAGACGCACAACGACTGGGCCTTACAAGGCTCCCTCAAATTTTTAAAAAAAAGTTTTTTCGTTTTTTTATTTTTTGCCTTTCCTTAAATTTAAAAAAATATCTTGAAACAATTAAAATATTTTTTATTTTTTATTTTTAATATTAATTCTCTCACAAATTAAATAAATAATAAATTTATTTCAAACTTGCATGCAAAGACATACAAATTTTTGTTTAGCAATTTAAGTCATTTTAATGGCATTCTTTAGCCATATATGCAACTTGTACGAATGAATAGGAGCACAATCTTCAATTGACACCCATCATTTGTTTTCTTCAAAGCTTAGTTATATTAATTAATTAAGGACGAAGAAATTGAAGCAACATTGGGTTATATTTATACTAAGAATTCAATGAATTAGAAGTTTATTGGTCACTTATCACTTACCACTTATCTTGCTCAATTGGCATGCCCCGTAACTAATTATATTTTCTCTATTTTAATTTATTTGAGTTTTTTAAATTCGTTTAAGAAAGAAACATAGTATAGGACTACAATGTTAATCTGCATTTGTGATGTACAGTAAATAAAACAATTTTTTATAGTTAAAAATATAGAATAACCAATATATCTTGTGATGGGAGTGAATCTCAAACAAAAGAAGAAATGTTTTTGTCAAGTATAATTATAATACTTGACTAAAATCTCTAAGAGTAATAAAAACCAAGTCACTTGCAAACTTGCAAAAAATGAAAAACTAAAAAATAAATTTAAGAAAAGCCAAAATGTGAAAAACTGCAAAAGAAAAAAAGAAAAAAAATTAAGGAAAGGCTCAAATTTCCCTCCGTCTTGTAAGGCGCAGCCGCCGTGGGTCTTACAGCATTGCGCCTTACAAGGCGCATGGAATTTTGAGCTTTACCCAATTTGACCTAATTCCAACAGCGCTAATTTAGGCGTTAAATTATTGCCCTTTTGGTTCTTAACTGAATTTGATTGCCCTTTTGAAATTTTTGATAAAATTTCTTGCCCTTTTGACTCCGGACTCATCTAAATACAACTTATGTAATATTACTACTAATTAGTAAATTCATTTCAAATAAATAATAAATTAATTAAATGGAAAGTCGTTGGCATGTAGTTCATGTATATTTCAACTACTGATAAAAAAAATCAGTGATTAATTATCGTCATTCAATTGAAAGAATCTTCATTTTTTTAGAAATATTTTACCTCGTACAACTCATGCCTAAGATGCATAATGAGAATTGCACTTTCTTGAAAGTGTTCTCATTTTCGTGCAATTATTAGTATATTATTCATATATATATATATATATATATATATGCTTCCAGTCAGGAATATTAATGGTTGTTTTTATAATATTTGAATTTTAAAAAGATTGTATTTCTTTGCTTTATATGTGTACTTTCTTTTGGTTAAACTTAATATCCGTTTTTTTAATCTCTTTTCTATCTATGTAATTGTAGATTTGTAGTTCATTTAGTTTTTTTTTTTTGAATTTGCTTTTTAACGGATGTGGCCCCATCAACTTCCATTTACCTTTACCACAACTCTTTTTATTTCATCCACTTATTTGTTGGGAGACCATTCTTCAGGTTTTTCAAGTTTTTATCTTAAGCCTTCAAAATATAATATTACTTGATTAATTAATATTTAATCTATAAAACATAAAACACAAAAGATTATATTTATTTTGTTTTAATTTGTTTGATTTATTTTAAGTTGTTATGAAGTTGAAGAAGAAAAAATTTAAATCTTTACGTGAAAAGTTAGAATTAAAAGAATTGTTACAAAGATATAGAATCATTCTTTTTAAATAGACTAGAAAAAGTAGATTAAATAAATTAAAATTAAAGAAGTAATATTTTAGAAATAAAATATATATGCTATACTATTAGAAAAAGTGAAAATTAAGTTATATTTTAAGTTTTCTACATATTTTTAAAATATATTGTCTTGTTTTCGTGCATTAATTTGTGCATATATTCAAACAATGTTTTCAAATTTAACTTGTCTATTTATACCTGAGTTTAGTACTTTCTCTATTTTTATTACTTTTCTTTTTGATATATTATATATTTAAAAATCACATTAAAAAATCTATAAAAACACAATAATTAATGTTAACACCCAATTTCGACCCTCTACAACATAAATTAATCATTAAGCTTCTTTAAGTTCAAATAATTAGCTTTATTTATAAAACTCAAAATAATTTTTGAGTTATTTTAAATAAAATTGTCCTTTTTATAAAAAATTTAAACTAATATATATGTTTTATATAATTATGTATAAATTAGTACATTTTATGAATATTCGAAAATCGTCTAATTTTTTTTTAGATTTACTTAAATGTTTGGTTATTTAGTTTAGTTAATCAATAGTTTATATTTTTGAATTATTTAGTTTATAATTGAATTAATTATTTTATTTTATTAAGATTAAGAAGCTTGTTTGGTTATTTAGTTTAGTTAATCAATAGTTTATATTTTTGAATTATTTAGTTTATAATTGAATTAATTATTTTATTTTATTAAGATTAAGAAGCTTGTTAATTAATTAATACTAATTCATATTATTTGAATTTTAGCCGATTTTCTAATTAATTCAATTTGGCTAACTGCTTAACTTTGGTTGGCTCTAATTATAATCCATATGGCCATTTCCTATTTGCAAGATCTAGCCAATTTTTTCTCCAAACGTTTACCAATTTTCATACAATTTTAAGACCAAATTAAACCCAATTCTTTCTACCTTTTCAGCCCAGCCCAATTCCAATATCAGCCGACCCACAGCAACCCAATTTACAACTCAACAACACAATTACTAGATCCAACCCACCATACAACTCAATCCCTACAACTAAAGACCCAGCCCCTTATCTCTCCCTTATTAATTTCGTACTCGAATCATATAGGTGTTGAAATCTTGCATTTCAACCTGCCTTGGATTTTATTTAGTTATCTAGCTTAGTTCAAACCCATATATTTTAGATTTATTCATATTTGATTTGTCTTATGAGTTATGGTTTAAATCTACTCGAAGTGCTACTCTTATATACTAATTTGTGTATAATTTGAAGTTTTGTTTGATCTTTACTAATATACCGTGCATTAAGATCTTTACCTGTTTATGCTTCTATTTAAAGTTCAAAAGCTTGAAATATGATATTTATCTCCCTTTTTAGCTAAGACTTAGGCTAAATATAATTTCAAAACTCAGTGCTTCTCACTTAGTCATTAGTTATGCTCTTATGATGTCTTAAATGTGGGTTATTTAATCATAACTCACTAGTTTAGTGTACGTGTTTTTGCACGTCAATTACAACAAAAAAATAATTCAGATCGTGTCTTTCCAGAAATAACCTTGAAGGTGAATCACCAGAGGGATAGGGAACACAAGCACAAACAACTTAATACAACAAGGAAAAAGCAAGCAACTTTACTTTTCTTTATTTTAATTAGTGTTTGCTTATTTTTGGACAGTTTCACAAACAATGTCTATTAGGGCCTCTTTTTTATTTTATTTTTAATTGATTAATAGAATTGCCTTGTGGAACACAATAAAAAAAAATCTTTTCTTCATGTGATAAATATATAGTACAATATTCATTATGATAACAAGGTTTGAAACCTATGCTAATTTTAGAAAAAAAACTTTATATCTGAAAGTGATTTGGTACCTTCAAATCCTTTACATGTCACATGCATGCAAACTTTAAAATAATGCCAAAGTTACGAGACTCAAAATTTAGGAGGGTCAAAATGCCTTCAAAAGAATACAAAAATCTAAAGGGCTTTGATATTTGCCACTTTGGCTAGCTGTTAAGCCTTCTTGATATAGAACTAAATTAATTTTAGGCCTTAACCTAAAAAAAGGAAAATATCTACACATATTTTCCCACTTATAATATGAATGAACGTTGCTTCTTCAAATCCTTCTAACTTTTAAATTACACTTTACAATACCAAATAATTTTTGGATTTTTCTTCGGATTCTGAAAATTCTAAAATTTAATTTTAAGTTGAGTTCTAAAATTTTCTAACAACTAAAAAAGAAAAGTAAGAGAAATAAATTAAAATGAAAAAATAGTACAAATCACAATAATTAACAACTTAATATATTTACAAGATACATAAAAAATCTTATTGACAAGATTTGTAGGACTTACTTGTGAGGAAAAGCTGATGATAAGAAAAAGGTAGCTCTAGTATCTTGGGAAAAAATCTGTTATCCAAAGAGAGAAGGTGGATTAAACATTAAAAACATTGCATCAGTAGGGAAATTGTTGTGGCAAATAATTGAGAACAAGGAGTCCCTATTGGTAATGTGGATATATATGAAAGATGGAGCAACAATATGGAATCATATAGAATACCTGCAGATTGTAGCTAGTATTGAAAGAATCTAAATGCAATCAAGATCCAAATACAGGGTTGTTATAACCTAGGAAGATACATACTCACACAAACTGGGAAATATTCCATCACTAGTGGAGCAATCTTATATCACATATGGAGTGCCAGGAATTGGAAAAAGTTCAAAGGCAAGCTGATTGTACATACAAAAAGGAGACAGGAACACAGATCAAAAGGAAGATTATGGAGAGATTACAATTACTTAGTAGTTCAAAAAACATGGAATTATTGTAGGAGTTTTGTCAGACTTTTACTTTGTAATACTCGTAGTAAGTTTTTAGCTTTGTAGGAGGCCTAATCCTTGTTACTACATCAATTGGGACAGAAGGAATAATATTATCTGAAAATTATGTAAATTTTTTTTGTAAATCACAATAATTAATTATAATTATTTACAAACTATACAAAACATTTTGATTCACAATTTAATTCGTGTGTCACATAAATTAAAACAAAATAAATAACATATATTGGGCCAGTGATGGCAATATATGTACGTGTTTTTGCACGTCAATTAGAACAAAATAACCTTGAAGGTCAATCACCAGAGAGATAGGGAACACAAGCACAAACAACTTAATACTACAAGGAAAATGCAAGCAACTTTAGTTTTCTTTATTTTAATTAGTGTTTGCTTATTTTTGGACAGTTTCACAAACAATGGCAATTAAGGTTTCTTTTTTATTTTATTTTAATTAATAGAATTGCCTCGTGGAACACAATAAAAAAAAAAAATCTTCATGTGATAAATATATAGTACGGTATTCATTATGATTTATGATAACAAGGTTTGAAACCTATGCTAATTTTAGAAAAAGCTTTATATCTGAAAGTGATTTGGTACCTTTAGATCCTTTACAAGTCTACTCACATGCATGCAAACTTTAAAATAATGCCAAAATTACGAGACTCAAATTTAAGGGGTGTCAAAATGTGACCAAATATAGGTAACTCGTCCAAAATTTTATGGATTAAGTTCAATATCAACTCATTCAAGTCTTGACTCATTTTGAAAGAATCTTCAATAGAGC